ATTATTAATTATTATTGTCATCCATCTTCATTTGTCACGGGTTCGTTCGTCGTCGTCGTCGTCGTCGTCGTCGTCGTCGTCGTCGGGTCGTTCGTCGTCGTCGTCGTCGTCGTCGTCGCTCGTCGTCGTCGTCGTCATCTTCATCCATCATCATCATTCAATATCTCATCATTATGCCCTCTTGTGTTGATGTTTTTGTTTGCTTTAGCGGCAGGACTATGGCGACTATGGTGACTATGCGTCTCATCATCATCGTTACGATTATATCCTTAACCAGCCCGATAGCAATCAACCATCTTTAGCTTTTTATATGGGGAAAGGTCACTGTGTTGACACACGTTCTGCGTCTGGTGAAGATGGCCTTCTTATACATGGGGAAACTCTCCCCTCCTCGCTTCTGAATGCGGGATGGCCGTGCAAATATCGATCGTAATCGTTATATTTAGTAATCGCTATTATATATTATGGACGCGTTTATATTGCAACAACGTCGTTAACAAGGTTTGAGCGTCAGAATGACTATGCAAAGAACGTTGTGTGATTTAACAGATACGAGGCCGTAAACTGTAGCGATTTTCTTTTTTTTTTTTTTTTTTTTTTTTTTTTTTTTTTTTTTTTTTTTTTTTTTTTTTTTTTTTTTTTTTTTTTTTTTTTTTTTTTTTTTTTTTTTTTTTTTTTTTTTTCTTTTTGTTTTTTTTTTTTTTTTTTTTTTTTTTTTTTTACAGTGTCGTAAATTTCTCCCCGTCATTCCTCTGTATGGCGAAGCAACACTTTAACATTAAAAAAAACTAACAGATGGATTGCAATCGTGTGTTCTTCGAACGCGCGGCAGATCTGTGGGAAAAGCGACCTTGCCGCCATCTTTTCAGCGGCTTCTTGTTTTGCAGGTCTTGTGCGTGTGTGTGTGTGTGTGTGCGTCTCTTCTCTCATCTCTCCTCTCTCTCTCCTCTCTCTCTCTCTCTCTCCGCGCGCTCGCTCTCTCTTCTCTCTCTCTCTCTCTCTCTCTCTCTCTCTCTTCTCACTTTCTCTATCTCTCTCTCTTCTCTCTCTTATCTCTCTCTCCTCTCTCTTCTCTCTCTCTCTCTCTCTCTCTCTCTCTCTCACTCTCTATCTCTCTCTCTCTCTCTGTCTGTGTCTCTCTGTCTCTCTACTCTCTCGCTCGCTACTCTTGTGTGTGGTGTGTGTGTGTGTGTGTGCCGTGCGTGAGTGCTGTGCGTGCGTGCGTGTTGTGATGTGCGTGTGTATGTGCTTTATGTTGTTCATGTTTCACTTTGCTTTTGCTTGCGCTTCTGTGGCAGCTGATTTTTCCCATAAAGCCGTTCGCTTGACCAAATTCTGCAATACAACATACGTACCATAACAAGCTTCGAGCGGGGGGCGGGGTATTACCCTCTCTGCGGACAAGCATCTAGTTTGATCTAGGAATTTTGAAACGGGAGGAGGTGATGACAGTTTGTGTTTTCTTTTTTTTTTTTTTTTTTCTATAGCGCGGCAGAGCGCACACAATTTGCGTGGGGAGATGACATGGATGATGGATGCGATAGTACGGGTGGACGGACGCACGGACGCACGCGACGACGACGGTCACCGACGACATCGGCGCGCGACGGCATGGATGGATGGATGTATTGCCATGGCCGTAGATGGATGGATAGAGATTAGCATGGATGGATGGATGGATAAATGAAACTAGCTATATAGATTAGACAGTACAGATTAGAGAGATAGATGCCAATATGCACCAGCGTTATTTTTTTCATCCGGAATTTGAAAAGGGAGGAGGTGATGATGAGTGTCGAGTGTAGCGGGCAAGAGCCGCTTCGCCTAGCGCATCGTCTTTTCTCTTCTTAAAGAGTTGTTTTCCACATGTTTCTTACTGCATTGGCTTCCTTTTTCCCTCTCTTTCTCTTTTAATTAGACTGTCGTCAGTCAAGGCACGCGCCCATATCACCTCTGCATTTCGGCAGCATCTATACACGACTATGTTATTTATTATATCAGAGTAGATAATAACACATGTTTTATTATCTACTCTTGATATATATCAAGAGCTAATGAACACCGTATTAGCCTCTTGCGATTATAGGTGATAGACATTAGGTGTTTATTAGCTCTTTGTATACTTATATATATATATATATATTAGCAGCCCAGCATTTAACTTCGGTGATCGCTGTAGTGTAGCTTGCCACCTGCTTTATGGGATGCGTCACTCTGCCTCAGAAGGCAACCAGAACCTGCCGCCAGCTAGCAGTATTTTGATCTTAGCTTTTCCCCTTCTTACGGCCTAAACTGCTTATGATTTGCCTGATTAAGGCCGTACGTGCTGCTGCCCTGCTGCTGCAGCCTACTCACGCTCTCCGCGCATGCGCACCCCGCGTTCGCCGTCGCCTCGAAATACATCATGGAGCCGACGATATGCGCGCGCGCGCCACCTAGCGGGCAGGTGTGCGGCACGTCGCGCGGCGGTCGTGTGGCTGTCTGTCCGGCGCTCCGCTGACGTTCGGCCGCGTTGGCTCGCACGACGTCGTACTCGACGCCGCGTGCGCATGCGTGCGTGCCGTGCGTGTGTGCTCGTGTGCTCTGCCCGCTAGCGTGTTGCTTCACGCGGAATCAATTCGCTTGACTAGATTAAGGGCAGACGGATTAGTGGCGATGCCTGTTGCGCAGGAGACCAGAGTACGCGTGCGTCACGGGCGCGTGCCTCCACGCACACTGTCGATTAGTCGTCCTCGGATATCAGTTGTCGTTCGTCGTCGTCGTCGTCAGTCGTCGTCATCTTGTGGAGTGATGTTAATTTATTGTCGTTCATTGTTGTTGCTTGTTGTCGTCTTCGTCGTCGTCGTCGTCGTGTCGTCAGTCGTCGTCGTTCGTTGCTCGTCGTCGTCGTCTGATGAGTGTGTATTTATTGTCGCCATTGTTGTTGTTGTTGTTGTCGTTCGTCGTCGTCGTCGTTCGTCAGTCGTTCGTCTTGTGAGTGTGTATTATTTGTCGCATTGTTGTTGCTGTTGTTGTCGTCGGTCGGGCGTCGTCGCTCGTCGTCGTCGTCGTCGTTCGTCGTCGTCGTCGTCGGTCTGATGAGAGTGTAATTTATTGTCGCCATTGTTGTTGTTGTCATCGGCGTCGTCGTTCGTTCGTCGTCGTCGTCGTCCTATTGCTACTGTAGTCGTGCCATCGTCTGTGGAGTGTGTAGTCGTTGTTGCCACTGTTGTCGTCGTCATTGCTGATCGCCCGTCATTGCTCGTTAGTGTCTCATCGCGTTCACGCTGTGGACCGCGCCATAATCGGACAGGCAGACGCATTAAGCGGCCTGCTGCCCTGCTGCTGTTGCTGTGCATGTTTGCCTGTTGGTTGGCACTTGATGCCATTGCTGAGCTGCGTCCCTACAGCTGCCTGCCTGCTGCTGATGATGATGATGCCTGCAGGGATGGATGATCACGCATTTCGCATGTTGATGCGTTGCTTGCCTGCTCTGCTGCTGGCTGCTGACGATGGATGCGTGATCCACGATTTTCGATGTGATGCTGTTGCTGCTGCTGCTGCTGCTGCGGCCTGACGATTGATGGTGATGGCGATAATGTTGCGCCAGCTTCGGCCTGCACACCGCCACACTATGTTTTCATCTCACATCGACGTTGACTCCGTCTCAGTAGCGCTGTTGCCGCTACCGTACAGCAGTATTTCAGAATTCGCGCAGTGTACGTACGAAACAGCGGGGATGGATCGAAGAGTTACGCTAGGGCAAGAAAATGTGAATTTGCGTGAGAGCCGAGAGGTAGCGAGCAGATGGAGGGAGAGGCGAGCGAGCAGTGCGAGGATTAGGTATGCGAGAGGGAGAGCGCGAGGGGGAGGAAAGGAAGACGAGGGACAGAGCGAGGATGGCAAAGCGTGGAGAGCGAAGGAGAGAGTTGAGTGATAGGAGAGCAGGCCCGAGAGAGTGAGGTAGCAAAGAGCGGAGGAGAGAGGAGAGAGAGAGATGAGAGAGAGAGAGAGCAGAGAGAGAGAGAGAGAGGAGAAGATGAGAGAAGAGAGAGAGGGAGAGAGAGGAGAGCACTGAGATAGAGCGATGGAGCATAGCAGAGATGAGAGAGAGCATGAGAGGAAGCAGAGAGCGAGGAGAGAGAGAGAGAGATGAGAGAGATGAGAGAGGAGAGAGAGAGAGAGAGAGAGAGAGAGAGAGGGCGAGGAAGAGAGCGAAAGGACTGAGAACGAAATATAGATATATATATAATCCAGCGTTGGAGCATACATGTATGTAGTTGCGGGCTCACTTCAACACGGCTTTCCATCGCGGACGCGTTTAAGTCACCGTAAGGTCATGCTATCTGCCACGGGACAAAACTAAGCGTCAAACGGTCAAGGCGTATTTATATATCTATTATTAAATAATTAAATAAATATAAATATATATAAATTATATATTTCATATAGAAATGTGTAAAAATTATATAGGTCGAAGATATATTCGAGTGCGTGGCCCGATGGACCCTGTGAGCCTAAACCATGGCTCAATCTCGTGGCAACCGTAGCAGCAGAGGCAAGAAAGGTTTCGATATGCCATATGACTACTAGGGCACTTTTAATTTAATATTTTTTTTTTTTTTTAGGCGTTTAGGGTTAGGTTTTTTTTTTTAATGCTTATTTAGTCATATCCTAAGGTGGCCTAGTAGTCATATCATATTCCGCACCTATCTGGCCGGGTGTGCCGACCGCTTAGGGCCTACGCGGCTGTGGCTTACTTAGCGGTTTCCGTAACAGGCTTTAGCTTGCGAGGCAACTGGCGTGTACTGGGGCTTGGGAGTTTTTGAGTCTTACGCCCAGTGCGTATAATCGCATTTCACAGCAAGCGCTTGCCGACTGAAGAAATCGCAGAGTAATCAGATTTCTCAAGTGTGCAACAGCAGTGACCAAGCACAGACTCGAATCCCCCAGATCATCTAACAGTTCGAGCGGGTCTTTCCTCAAAGTCTTATAAGTACTTGGTTTTTGCTAAAAATAAAATAAGGGCCCCCTTATTTTAGCTACTTTATTTTTGGTAAATCTTAGAAAAGTACTTAATAGTCTTATTTTTTGCAAAGCGACCATTTTCAACATTGTTTATAAACTTTCTCGGACTTAGAGTAAGAAATTGTGTTTGCTATATATAATAACGGAATAATTAAATTCGAATAACATAATATCTAATAATTTATATATCTAATATATATCTAATAATAAAGTCTTATTTTGGCCTCCAGAAAGGGTCTTATAAGTCCTTATTTCAACATGTGTCTTACTACTATGAACCCTGTCTAAGCAGACACGTAGATTACCAACAGTTGCAAGGGTGTCGCCTGTAGTCCATCACGCCCCCACGATTGGCATTGATACAATAATGACAATTTGTCATTATTAACCACTGATATATATATATACATATAATAACAAAAGTAGACAATATTGCCGGTACTTTACATTTGATCTTTTACGATGACTGAACTTCTGCGTTCGCTGCATTTTTAGCTCGCCTTGACATCGTCAAGATGAGCTATTTGCATGGGGTGTCGTCCGTCGTACGTTCGTCCATCCGTCAACATTTGGCTACGGTCAACGATAACTCGAGAACCGTTTGACCCACATGTTTCAAATTGCATACAGTTGTTACTCTTATGGGAGAGGTTTGAACGTCCTATTTTGGAGCACGCCAGTCGACCTACTTTTGAGCCACGTCCACTTTTTGGCAAAAATGGAAATGGCAATAAGTCGGTTCAGGTTCAACGGATTTTGCTCATTTTTGGTATGTGAATGAATAACGACTGGCCCCAAAACAATCACAGGGGTTTTGATATTTTTTTAAATTATGCAAATTAGGTAGATTTTAGCAATTCACTATGCATTTCAGTGTCTGCCTACTGTCAACGATAACTCAAGAACAGTTGTTACTCCTATGGGAGAGATTTGAACATTCTATTTTGGAGCACGCCAGTCGACCTACTTTCGAGCCACGCCCACTTTTTGGCAAAAATGAAAATGGCCATCTAGATTTATTCGATTTTGTTAAATTTTGGTATATGAATGTGTAAGTACTAATCTGGGGTGCTAAACACTAGGCTTGGGTTCTTTCTTGCCGTTTCGCTTGCGTGGCAGATATAGAGTAAGATCACCTGTTTAGAACGGTCAATTGTCTGCCTAGAAATGCCACTATTAGGGGGTTTTCCTTGAGAGGCTGTCGTGTTAAGGTTTGTCGGTATAGGACGCATTAACAGGGGTAGAAATCAACTTTTGAACAAGGGAGTCCGACAGAATATCAGGGAGTATTTGACTCCGGACTCCCGTTAATTTCGCACCCTGCAGTAACACCGGATATGATGGCATCGTTACGGAGGAAAAACAGTGTTGTACAAAACGCGCATGGTCGAAAACACTAAAGCGAAATGCACGTTTAGTAGAGTAGAGACCTCCTATCGATTTGATCCACTTCTCTCTCCGTCTTCGTTATAGTCTCTAGGAATTTTGAAGACTAATATTTATGAAGCTATGGGGTAGAGCATCGGAGCACTGTTACATGTCCCATATTTCGCGCTTGTGGGGAAAAAAACAGTTGAACAGTGCACCGCGGGCAGCCGGTCGCCATGGTTATCAGACGCAACAATGGCCGACATAATATGCAGCAGCCGGCTGAAAGGGGTGATAGGATAATCATATGTTTACTAGGCACTTCTAATTTTAACATATATTTTACGATATATTAAAGAATGATGCAAAAACCCTAAAAAGTGCCCTAACCCTAACCCTAACCCTAACCCT